ACTTTGAATTTGGGGCTGGGGGGTGGGCCCGCTTCAACGCGCATCGAAAACCACACGGAGGTGGGAGGATCCAGGAGTTCGTGCTGGAGGTCAGGCCACCCCCTCGCTGCCCCCACGTGTTGTCCTCTGCGGTCGCCGACGGCGATGCGGGGACCAGGGCATCGGGGGCGGCGGCGTGGGACACGAGGCCTGCATGGACGAGCTCGTGATGGTCGAGCCCCGTCTGGAGGCTCATCCGCCTCTCGCGGGCAGCAGGGCACCTGGAGGTCCAGCGCCGCGCGCCTGCTGCCCGCCCTTGCCCGGGCCTGGAGGGCCGCATGCTGGTGCTCTCGACACCGGTCTTGGTTGTCTTCCATGCGTTGATCTCCTCCTCCTCCTCCTCCTCCTCCTCCTCCTCCTCCTCCTCCTCGTTGATCTTTTTATTCATCATTGGGGTTTCAAGCTGGGTCGAAGGCGTGCTAATCGAGCTGTCCGTAACTGGCCTTCGATCCCTGGCGACTCCGTGGGTCGCGGGAGCTTGTACCAGCCTGCCTGCCGGTTTCGCCCGTGCTCGACCGAGCTCGAGGCGTCTGTCCTGTGCGCCTGCTCGAGCAGGCAGTGCTGACGCCACAGGAGCTCGTGCCTGCCGGCGAGCGAGCGCCCCCCGCGCGCGCCCCCCGCCCCCACACCCCCCCGCAGGGCACGGACGGACACGTGTGGGGGGACAGCGGGCCGCGCCCTTTCACGCACCGCCGCCCGCGGTGCGGCGCGCGCCGTGGGCGGTCTCGGTGGCGCAAACCCTGGCGCGCGCGCGCGGGGAGCCCTCCCTGTACAGATCTCCTACGGGCGGCGCACGCACCTCCCCCCCCAGCACGCGACTGTGGGATGCGAGCCCTTCTTGCCGGCATCGCCTGCCAGCGGCGGGCGTTGGGGCGGGCGCGACGGCCCAGCTCTTACCCGTGCACACTGCACGCGGGTGTCGCACCCCTGGCGCGGGGATGCGCTGAACCTCCTGGCGCGCCGCGCCGCCCCATTTTCCACGGGCCGCGGCAAACAGTGAACAGCATGAGCCGCTCACACGGTAAGCGCCGCGGTGGCGCGTGGCCGCCTCTGCACTGTCGGCCCGGAGAGTCGCGCCTGACGGACAATCATAACGTATCAGGACCTCGATATTGGTTCCCTGGTCATCTTCCTCCTCCTCCTCCTCCTCATCCTCCTCCTCTTCCTCCTCCTCCTCATCTCCCTCCTCCTCCTCCGCCTCCTCCTCCTGCTCCTCCGCCTCCTCCCCCTCCTACCTTATCAGCGTCATCAGCAGCAGCATCATCCTCACCACCACGATGGCCATCACAACAACCACCACCATCATCATCAACACGGTCGCCACGCTCCCCCACTACCCTTGTCGTCCTCCTCATAACCTCTCATCACCGCCACCTTCATCACCGCCACCAGCACCATCGTCGCCACCATCATCATACCGCCATCATCATCATCATCATCATCATCATCATCATCATCATCATCATCATCATCATCATCATCATCATCATCAGCAGCAGCATCATCAACATCATCAACATCATCATGATCGTCATTATCATAATCATAATCATCATCATCATCATCATCATCATCATCATCATCATCATCATCATCATCATCATCATCATCATCATCATCATCATCATCATCATAATAATCAGCTTCAGCATCATCATCATCATCATCATCATCATCATCACCAGCAGCATCACCATCATCATCACCAACATCATCTGAATCATCATCAGCGGCATCATCAGCGGCATCAGCATCGCCATCACCATCCACAACATGAACGGCAACGGCAGAACGATCATCTTCATCGCCACCATCATAAAACACATCACCAACAGCAACGTCAGAATCATGATCGTCATCGTCACCATACTCATCATCATACTCACCATCGTCGTCGTCGTCATCGTCGTCATCACCATCATCAGCAGCATCAGCATCGCCATCATCATCATCAGCAGCAGCATCATCATCGTCGTTATCATCATCAGCGATAGCTTCATCATCGGGATTAGTATCAGAATCATCAGCACCGCCAGCATCATCATCAGCATCATCATCAGCAGCATCCGCATCCGCATCAGCAACATCAACAACAACGTTTCCAGCGTCATCACCATCATCATCAGAACTCATCATCATCAGCAGGATGGTCTTCATCATCATCATCACCATCACCACCACCATCATCATCATCACTATCATCAGAATCATTATCGTCGTAATTGTCGTCATAGCCATCCTCATCATCATCATCATCATCATCATCATCATCATCAGCAGCAGCAGCATCATCCTCAGCAGCAGCAGCACCATCATCATCACCATCAGCAGCAGCATCACCAGTGGCATCAGCATCGCCACCACTATCCACAACATGAACAGCAATGTCAGAACCATCATCGTCATCGTCACAATCATAATACACATCATCAACAGCAAAGTCAGAATCATGATCGCCATCGTCACCATACTCATCATCATGCTCACCATCGTCATAATCATCAGCATCGCCGTCATCATCATCAGCAGCATCATCGTTGTCGTCACCACCATCAGCAATAGTTGCATCCATGGTATCAGTATCATAATCATCAGTCGCCAGCATCATGATCAGCAGCAACATCAGCATCCTCAACCGCAACATCCTCAAAGGCAACATCAACGACAACGTTCCCAGCATCATGTCACCATCATCAGCAGCACTATCTTCATGATCAGAATCACCATTGCCGTCGTGATCGTCGTCATGGTCATTTTCATCCTCATCATTATCATCATCATCATCATCATCATCATCATCATCATCATCATCATCATCATCATCATCATCATCATCATCATTAGCAGCATTATCGTCGTCGACGTCGTCGTTGTCGTCGTCGTAGTCGTAGTATTTATTCGTCGCCATCATCATCAGCATCATGATCACCATCATCATCATCAAAATCATCGTCATGGGCACCGCCATCGTCATCATCATCGTCACCGTCATCACCGTATAAACCACCCCTACTCATCATCATCATCATCATCATCATCATCATCATCAGCAGCAGCAGCAGCAGCAGCATCAGCAGCAGCAGCATCATCATCATCAGCAGCAGCAGCAGTAGCATCATCATCATCATCACAAGACGACATCATCGTCATCACCACCACCACCATCATCATAATAATAATCATCAGTAGCATCATCAACAACGACATCTGCATCGACATCATCATCACCATCAGCAGCAGCAGCAGCAGCATCAGCATCAGCATCATCATCATCATCATCCCGTCTCTCCTCTCCCCTCCCTCTCCTCCCTCTCCTCCCAGCCTCCCCTCCCGTGGGTGTCATTGGGTCCTCGGCGCATCATGCCCCGCTGGCGTACCCCACGGCACAACTAGGTCCGAGGAGATCATAGCACCTCCAGCATCCAGTAAGCTAGGGGGGCACATGCGAACCCTACCCCTACCCCCCACGATTTCCGAGGGGGAGGGTGGGGTTCATTTCGTTCGGGAGCTCTCGGACGAAGTGAACCCGACCCTCCCCCTGAGAAATCGTGGGGGGTAGGGGTCGAGTTCGCATGTGGCACCAGGCAAGCCCGACCACGAACCCTGGAAGCCCTGGGCCTCAGACTACGGCGAGGAGACGGGGCGAGACGGGGTGCCGGCGGGCGCGCCCCTCCCAGCAAGCCGATAAGCCTCGCGGTTGCCGCACCCCCCTCGTCGTCCTCCACCTCGCAAAATCAATGAATATCGAATCGGGAAATCGACCGGATCGGAATGTTAGAGAGCCACATGCGAACCCTACCCTTCAGAAATCGTGGGGGGTAGGGGTAGGGTTCGCATGTGGCCCCCTAAATGTGTGTCAAATCGGGCCGCATCGGCACGGAGTCGGAATCGAATCGTACCGGCTGGGCCAGGATGCATAGCAGCGCCGCGCAACAGTCGGGCCGCATCGGACCGTCGGAAAGCCAGAATCGCACTTGCTCAGGCCAGCCAGCATTGGATCGATCGGATCGGATCTATCGGGTCGAAATGGACCCTTAGGAGGCCACATGTGAACCCTACCCCACCTCCCCCAAGAGTTCTAAGGGGGGGAGGTGGGGTTCGCTTCGTTCGGGGCCTGCCGAGCGAAGTGAACCCCACCTCCCCCCGTAGATATCGTGGGGTCGTGGGGTAAGGTTCGCATGTGGCCTCCTAAGCTTGCCTCTCTAGAGGAAGAGCAAACGGCATAAGCAAAATGTCTCTGAAGTCATTCCCCCTCCCTGGCGTGCGGAGCGCGACATGGGCGGCCGCCAGAGGGGGGCCAACGTAGATCCAAGAACGCCGCGTGGACCCACGAAAAGTGATGTTCGCCGTTCTCGACGATCCTCAGGACGTGTGCTAGCGCCAACGTGTGCTTGCCCACAGGAGCCTGTCAGTACGGTGCAGGCGGCGTACTGATCTATCAGCGGGGCTGGACGGGGTGAACACACGTTGGGCTACGCCCGGACTAAGGACAGAGGAACATCCTTCAAAAGCATGAGACCCTCCGCTGGCCAAAACACCCCAGACCACAGGACCACTCGAGGGCGCCCCCCCCCAGGATGCACAAGAGCACGCGACGAGCACGAAGAACACGAGGGTACCCTCACCGAGCCGACCTCGATCATATACCTCGGTCCGACCCCAAACCCCCGACGTCGCAAATTCTTCGTGACATGACCCCCGGAGCCTGGACCCCTTCCCGGGGACCTGTTTTTCATCCGAAGCCGATTTTTGACAGCCCCGAGGCCCAGCGAGGGTCCCTGGAGGCCGAAAACAGCGAAAAACCTCCCGCCACGATTTTTTTTTCGCAACGAGAGGAGTGCTGGGCCCTGAGGATCATCAGCGTTTTTCTTCCTCGACCCTCGCCACCGCCGACGCCCTCGCTGCCGCCGTCGTCGGCGCTGCCGGCGGGGTGTGCGGGCGGCGGCGCCCGCCAAGCAGGCCTGTCGAGGCTGCGCGCTCGCAGAACGCAGGGGCGGCTGCTGACCTCGGGAGGCCGGGTCGGGGGAGGAGGAAGAGGAGGAGGAGGAGGAGGAGGAGGAGGAGGAAGAGGAGGACGACGAGAAGGAGGAGGAGAAGGAGAGGGAAGAGGAGGAGGAGGAGGAAGGAGGAGGAGTGAGGAGGAGGCGGAGGAGGATGAGGGGGAGGAGGAGGAGGAGGAGAAAGAGGGGGGGGCGGGCGGGGGGGGGGGGGGGTCGGCGGAGGAGGAGGAGGAGGAGGAGGAGGAGGGGAGGAGGAGGAGGAGGAGAGGGGAGGAGGAGGAAGGGGACGGCGGGGAGGAGGAGGGAGGAGGAGGAGGAGGAGGAGGAGGAGGAGGAAGAGGGGGAGGAGGAGGGGGAGGGAAGGGGAGGAGGAGGAGGAGGAGAAAGAGAAGGAACGGAGAAGAGGACGAGAGGAGGAGGGAGGAAGGGAGGAGGAGGGGAGGAGGAGGAGGAGAGGAGGGGGGAGGAGGAGGAGGAGGAGGGAGGAGGAGGAGGAGGAGGAGGAGGAGGAGGAGGAGGAGGGGGAGGAGGAGGGGGAGGAGACGAGGAGGGAGGAGAAAGAGGAGAAGAGGGGGAGGGGGGAGCGACGAGGAGGAGGAGGGAGGAAGGGAGAAGGAGGGGAAGGAGGAGGAGGAGGGACGAGGAGGAGGAGAAAGAGGAGGAAGAGGAGGAGGGAGGAGGAGGAGGAGGAGGAGGAGGGAGGAGGAGTAAGGGGGAGGAGGAGGAGGAGGAGGAGGAGGAGGAGGAGGAGGAGGGGGGAAGGGGAGGGGAGGAGGTAGGAGGAGGAGGGAGGAGGAGGACGGATGGGGAGGGGGGGGAGGGGGAGGAGGACGGAGGAGGAGGAGGAGGAGGAGGAGGAGGAGGGAGGAGGAGGAAAACGTGAAGGAAGGAAGTAAGAAAGAAAAGAAGGGAGGGAGGGAGGGAGGACGGGAGGAGAAGGAGAAGGAGGAAGAGGAGGAGGAATAGGAATGACGACGACGAGGAGAAGGAGGCGGAAGTAGGCAGGAGGAGGAGGAGGAAGTAGGCAGGAGGAGGAGAACGTGAAGGAAGGAAGGAAGAAAAGAAGGGAGGGAGGAAGGGAGGAGGAGGAGGAGGAGGAAGAGGAATGAGGACCACGAGGAGAAGGAGGAGGAAGTAGGCAAGAGGAAGAGGAGAAAAGGGAAGAGGAGAACGGGAAGGAAGGAAGGGAGGGAGGGAGGAAGGGAGGAGGAGAAGGAAGAGGAGCATGCGGAGGAGAAGGAGGCGGAGCGTGAGGGAAGAAGATCACTACTGCTCTACCCTGCCTCCCTTCCCAACCGCGCCCGCTCCACGATGTAGTCGAGGGAGGCTCGGCACAGATGATGCCGCTGACGCCTCCTCGTTGGGAGGCGTGTGGCGGACCTCACGGCGTCGATCAAATGGTCGGCTTGGGAGGAGGAGGAGGAGGAGGAGGAGGAGGAGGAGGAGGACGAGGAGGAGGAGGATGAGGAGCGCACGTACCCCCGAAGCCCCAACGACGTAGGTCGCAAACCACACCCAGGCGTAACCACACCCTGTGTAGTCGCCGAGGGGGGGGCAGAGGGGGCCTCCTCCTGACAATGAGGGGAGGGGGGAACGCTGTCCACTCTCATTCCTCCTCGCCCTCGTCCTTCTTCTAATCACGCTGATATGTTTGATGCCTCGAGTGGCTCCGGGTTTGCTCGGTGCACTTCCTGGGCACCATCCGGGGAGGAGGGGAGCAAGCGGGAGGAGGGAGGGGAGGAAGGAAGGGAGGAAGGGGGAGGAAGGGAGGGGAGGAGTGGAGGGAAGGGGGAGGAGGGTGGGGTAGGAAGGGGGAAGGGAGGGGGGGGTCTGGCGTGCCGCCCCCGGGAGCTGGCAACGCGGAGGCTTCGGGCGCGGTTCCACTTCAGAAGGAAAGGGCCACGACCTGGGGAGGGCTCGTGAGCGAACGAGGTGCGACGGCCGTGGAGGCCAAACCGCCCTAGTTGGAGGAGGAAGGGAGAGAGGAGGAGGAGGAGGAGGAGGAGGAGGAGTAAGGAGGCGAAGGAGGGCGGGGGAGGAGGAGGAAAGGAGGAGGAGGAGGGGAGAGGAGGGAGGAGAGGAGGAGGAGGGAGGAGGAGGAGGAGAGGAGGAGGAGGGAGGAAGAAAGGAGGAGGAGGAGGGAGGATGGGAAGGTGGAAAGGAGAGGAGGGGAGGAGGAGGAGGAGAAGGAGGGGGAGTAGAAGAGGAGGAGGAGGAGCAGGGGGAGGAGAAGGAGGAGGAGGAGGAGGAAGAGGAGGAGGAGGAGGGGAAGGGGACGAGGAGGAGGAGGAGGAGGAGGAGGGGAATATGAAGAAAAAAAGAAAAAGGAGGGGGGAAGGAAGGATGAGAGCGTGAGAGAGCACTTCTCACCTCAAGCGTGATCCTCCGCTCCAACCCCAGGCCAGCAGCGACGCAGAGAAGGCAGCTCAGTGTCTCGTGGACTCCGCGCGGTGCAGGCGGGGCCAAGCAGGAAGTCTCTACATGGAGCTGGTCCGATCCTCCGTGCACTGCCTGGCCGACGCAGGGGAAGAGGGAGCCACCTCAGGAGGGAGGGAGGAGGACGGAGAAGCACTGCCCTGCCCGACCCGACCCGACCTTCCCGGAAGCCTTGAAGAAGAGAACTCTCGGCTCAAGCCATTTGGGTCAGGCCATTTTGGCTCAAGCTATTTTGGCTCAAGCTGGTTCACTCAAGGCAGTTTGACACAAATCAGTTCGCCTATCGCACTGACTTTCCTTGAACAGATTCATGTTTTGTTATTCTGGCAGGGGGGGAGGGCGGGAAGGGCGGGGAGGGAGAGAGGGAGACGGTCCTCCGCCAGCGGCAGCCCAGAAACGATCCCTCCCTGGTGCGCGCAGAGCGCCGGCAGAACCGCCCCCGCTGACCCCGCATCCACCAGGCCTGCCTGCCCAGCGGAGAGCCGTGCCCCCGCGGGCCTCCCACAAGGTGCGCCGGGGGGGGGCCGTCCGTGCGACGAAAGGAGACAAGTCTTACGCGAGCTCCTCGTCCTCCTCCTCCTGCTCCTCCTCCTCCTCCTGCTCCTCCTCCTCCTGCTCCTCCTCTTTCCTTCTTCTATTCGGTTTATGATTATTACTGTTAATAATGATAACATCATTTCTATTATTGCATTAGTCTGAATACTATTAGTATTATTACGATGACGATTAGCGTTCTTAGTATCATTAGTATTCGTATTAGTTTTATCAGTATTAGCATTATTGCTATTATTAGTAGCATGTTTCTTCATACTCTTAGTATTACTAGGACTAGCACCGCTATTATCATTGTTCCTCCTCCTCCTCCTCCTCCTCCTCCTCCTCATCCTCCTCCCTTTCCTCCTCCTCCTCCTCCTCCTCCTCCTCCTCCTCCTCCTCCTCCTCCTCTTACGCGAGAAGGCACAGAGACCTTAAGCCGCGGCTTACGCGGGCCGATAATCCAGTCAGTGCGCGGCACACCGGATTGAGAAGAGGGCGCTTGCGCGCGGCCTTGAACGGGAAGCTGCCGCGAGAATGTCCGCGCAATCGACCTTGATCTGCTTCCGTCGCCCACGAGGGATGCAGTCCTCCGCAGAGAACAATGAAGTTCACAGCGAGAGCGTGATTCCCGAGTGTCGAGAGCGCGACGTCTCCATAGATCGTGACCATGAAATGCGAAGAAGTCCCAAGCGAGGGGGCGATTCCTGCATACATTGTGAGGAGGTCCTGCGCGAGAGCGCGATTCTGAATGAATTGTGAAGAAATATTAAGCGGGAGCAGCTGTTGTTATAAACCGGGGGCCAGGGGCGCAGACTAAGGCTCAAGACCTTCCCTTGTTGTTTATTTTAACGGGTACAAATACAACAGCAGCAGCAGCAGCAGCAGCAGCAGCAGCAGCAGCAGCAGCAACAACAACAACAACAACAACAACAACAACAACAACAACAACAACAACAACAACAACGACAACAACAACAACAACAACAACAACAGCAGCACCGGCAACGACAACGACAACGACAATGGTAATCACAACAACAACAACAACAACAACAACAACAACAACAACAACAACAACAACAACAACAAGTGTAAGACTACTCGCTCTAATCTGCTCGCGTGACATTGAACATGTATATCCCGAACTCTCGCTTCCCTCCATCTTCGTCTTCGGTCGTGCCCCCCTTGGGGGTCTATCTGCCTTGCCTGCCACGTGTAGTTGGCACAGCCCCTTAAACAAGAGGAAGATGAAGCACGAGAGAGCTTAGGAGGAGGTTATGAGCAGGAAAACAAACGGCAGAACCAGACGGGCGAGTCGGCCGGGCAGACCCTAACAGGCGGGTCGGGCGGGCGGGCCCAGACGGCCCGGTCGAGCAGGCGGGTCGCTGAAAGCGCCAGTCCCACATGAATCGCGAAGACATCTCGAGCGATACCGCGATGCTCAAATAAATCGCAAGGAAGTCCAGACCGGGAGTGTGATTCCTGACTGTCGAGGGCGCGGCGCCTCAATGAATTGCGAGGAAGTCCCACACGAGAGCGCGGAAGTCCAGCGCGATAGCACGAGTCTAGATTACTGAGGAAATATCAAGCGAAAGCCGGTGTTGCTGGAAACCAGAGGCCAACAGCACAGTCTGAGCCTCAAGACTTTCGCTTGCCTTGGTAAAGAAGGTGCGAGCCCCAGAAGAGACACTTCAGTTTAAACAAATACAAGGTGCACTGAAAAGGGGATTAACAATATATATATATATATTCTTTCGACATGACAGTTCAACATTATCACCATCACCATCACCACCATCATCATCATCCTCATCATCATCATCTGAAGCAGCAGCATCAGTATCGACCTCATAATCTGCACCACCACCATCATTCTCATAATCCTCATCACCACCGTCAACATCACCATCATCATCGTAATCGGCATCATCAACAACATCAGACTAGTATATGCATCATCAGATTCACCAGCATCATCAGCAGCAGCATCATCAACGTCGTCGTCTTGTCTTCATCGTCATCGACATCGACATAGACATCAACAAGAAGGACATAATCAACCATATCATCAATCCGCGGGCCCTCTTGTGGGGCCGCCAGGCTGTAGGGTTAAGCTTCGCAGTTTCCTGTACCAGTTGCAGCTTCCAGTTTCCACCGTTACAGTTCTGCTTCTTGCTGCTTACTGTTCCTTGTTGACTTCTTGCTGCTTACTGTTCCTTGTTGATGGACCGCGCGATGGGGGGGAGGCCCGACAAAACGCGCATTTTTACCACGCCCAAATCGTACTGTCTGAATTGCTGGGGTGGGTAAAAATTAACACCCCTCACGCAGATCGGCGGGGTCAGGGTCCAAAAACACAAAGGATTTGCCACACTTGTGAAATTCGGTTGCACCCCTCACGCAGATCGGCGGGGTCAGGGTCCAAAAACACAGAGACTTGCCACAATACTGACATTCGGTGGCACCCCTCACGCAGATCGGCGGGGTCAGGGTCCAAAAACACAAGGGATTTGCTACATTTTTGAAATTCTGTGGCACCCCTTCACGGCGAAGCCAAAGCCTCATGACTTCGCTCTTCCATGGCTCATTCTCCGAGAGAGGGGGCCGGCGGCAGGGGGCGTCATCAGCAGCATCATCATTATCATCGTCATCATCATCAGCAGCACCAGCACCATTGACGTCCTCGTCCTCATCCTCCGCCTCCGCATCCACTTCCTCCTCCTCCCCCTCCTCCTTCTCCTCCTCCTCCTGATCTTACTCCTCCTCATCCTCCTCATCCTCCTCTCCTCCTCCCTCCTGATCTCGTTCATCCTGATACCTTCTCCTCCTCTCCCTCCTCTTCCTCCACCCCAAAAGCCCCCAAAGCCTCCAAGAACTTCGAAGAACCATGGAAACCCGCAGCCCACCCATATCCCCAAACATCCGGCTGCTCCAATGTTTTCGATGCGTGGGCCCCGGAGGTCTGGACCACTTCCCTAGGGCCGGTGTTCGTCCCGAATCATTGTTTAACGCTCCCGAGGCCCGGGGAGGGCCCCCCAAGGCCGAAAACGGCCAAAACCGCCCGCTCCAATTTTACTGGGTCCCACCCTTCCCCTCCTCCTCCTCCGTCGTGAAAACGGGCCCAGGGGGCAAACAAAACAAAAAACAAAAAACTGCCGTCGCAATCGTCACGACGCGTGGGGATTCTGGGTTCCCCCCTCCCCCTCGTCTTCCACTGCCCCAGACACTTCCTTAACCTTCCTCTTGCTCTCCTCCCCTTCTTCGGGGTGAACGCCGCGGGGGGGGGGGAGGGGGAGGAGGAATAGGAATAAGCGTCAACTTAGAATAGTAAGAAGAAACAGAAGTCGAGGGGCAGGACAACGAGCCGGCAGGGAGCAGGAGGGAATGGAATGGAACGGGCACTTCAGAGCAACAGAGACAAGACAAGCCAGCACGCAAGTGCAGCGGAATGAAGCCCGAACCCCGAACCCCACAAGCGAGGAGGGGAGGTACCCACGCGCTTTCCAACGCCAACCTGTACTATCTCACACGCG